GGGGGGGGGGGGGAATTCCTGGCCCTGGGGTTGCAAATTAAAAAAAGATTGAGCACCACTGACTTAAGACATCACTGAAGATATATAGGCTTTAAGAAGCAAAACCTATACAGCTGTTTTTTGAATAACATAAACTTAAAGTCTCAGTTGGAAAAAAAATTCCCAGACACAAATTCAATCAAGATTGAGAATTGTAATGCCCTTAATCAACATTAAAAAATTCTAACCCTCCTCATGGTGTACAATCAGAGGATTTTAAAGCCAACCTTACTTTTCTAACGCTGCCTAATCTCCACCTATACACAAGAGACCTCCATCCTATCTATACTTCTGGTTGAGCTCACAAAGTATAGAATCCTAGAAATATAGAGCTGAAACGAACCTTGAGAAGTCTACTTCCCTTTGCTGAGGCAGTATCAAGTAAACCCAGACCATCCTTGACAGATGCCTGTCCAAATTGTTTTTAAAAAACTACAAAGATAGGGATTCTACAGCCTTCCTCGGAAAGAAAGCTGTTCTGGAGCTTAACTACCCTTATAGTTAAAAGCTTTTCCTAATAGTTAACCTAAATCTCCCTTGCTGCAGATTAACTCCATTGCTTCTTGTCCCACGTTCAGTGAACATTTGAGAACTATTGATCAATTTTCTTTATAACAGCCCTTAACATACCTGAAAACTGCTACCAGGCCCCTCTTTGGTTATCTTCTCTCAAGATGAAACATGCCCAGTTATTTTTTCCTCATGGATCATGTTTTCCAAACCTTCTAAACATTTCTGTTGCTCTCCTCTGGAGAAATTGGAGAGAGACCATATCTTCCCTAAAGCATAGTGCCCAGACAATCACCCAGCACTCTAGATGAGGTCTTATCTATGCCAAATAGAGGGGGACAACTACCTCCCATGTTTTATATACAAGTTGAACCTCTCTAATCTGGCACCTTTGGGACTGATGCCGAAGCAGAGAATTTTCTGAATCATGGAAGGTGAATACAGAGTAAGAATGGGTCTTCGTAGGAGTGGTAAGTAGAAGTGCGGGGAATGCTTCAGCACCTCCAGGTTGTGTCCCAGCATGGCCTCGTGCCCAGGGGCCCTGCTGCCACTTGCAGTTTTGGCTCCTTGCCTCCCGATGCCAGCCTGGGGGTTCCAAAGCTGGCCCCAGTTGTGGTCCAAACCCGGGGCAGTGAGGAGTGCAGATAAGAGTAAGGGGATGTGCATAGCTCTCTGCAGTTTCTGGGAGGGATGAGGAGGAATTGGTAAGTACAGTGCTGCCGGTACTTGAGAGGGGTGAGAGGAGGGGCAGAGGAGCATAGATGAACACCGGTGGGTGCGCCACACCTACTACTTTTTCCCCTGTGGTTGCTCCAGCCCTGGAGCACTCAGATTCCAAATCTATGTGTTGGTCCATTTTTTGAGGGTTATAGGATCTTTCAAAACGGTCATTTCTGTCGAAAGATCCCTATGTTGACCACTTTTTTTTCGAAAAGCGGCTTTTCGAAAAAAGCTGCAGCCACCATTATGTAAATGAAGCGCGGAAATTCAAATCTTAGCTTCATTTACAATTTCTGTATGTCTAATTTACATCCTTTTATCGAAAAAGGGGTGTAGGTTAGATGTACCCTTCCTGTGTGAGCATTCAGACTGTTGGACTGCAGTAATGGGCTTGTAATTTTCCTTTACGTTGTTGTTTTAAATGATACACTATTTAGGATCTTTATGCTCACCATTAAATCTTTGGATTCACATCTTCCTTTGAGACTTCAGAGGAGGGGGACTCTTCAGGGGAGGACTCTTCTCCCCCCCCCTCCCCCCGCACACATGTGCAGCTGTAAATTTTTTTTGTGCTTAGGGTGATATAGGCTTCCTTAACCCTGGTATGTTTCATCTTGATGCTCTGCTGCTTTTGGATGTGTTGTGTAGTGGAGGGCCAAGAGAGAAAATAGCTTGTTTACTTTTGGCTCCAGTATGAGTAGAGTATTATCTCTACAGTTCTGTGAATCTCACATTCATGAGAACGTAATGAATAATTTGTAATTAATGTTGATATCTACAAGGAAAGTGCTGTGGTTCACACCTGCACATGTACCTTTTCTTTGGGGGTGGGAAGAGGGATTTCTTTACCAGGAGATGCACAACAAAAACTCACCTTCACAACTTTGTTAGTGATAACATACAGAAGAATGCACCTAGACTTAAAACACCTGCCAATCCTGAAGTCACATCTAATCTGCCATTGATACATTAGAAGTGGAAAGTCTTAATGGTTAGGCCAGGGGTGGGCAATAATTTTTAAAAGGGGACCACTTTAGAAATTTATGAAGTGGCACTGGACCACCCCTACAGTATTTCCCCCAGGTCGCATCCCCTGAGGGTCATGTCCCCTTTTCTGCTCCAGCAAAGCCCCTCTCCCTGGGAGCCCGGTAGGTTTTCCTTCTTATTCCCCCACTCCCTATAGAGAAACACCAGCTGTTTTAAAACAGCAGGTTGTTCCCTCTAGGCCAGCGTTTCCCAAAATATGGGCCGCAGCCCGGTATCAGGCTGCAGGAAAAAGATACTGGGCCTCAGTGTGGCTGCTGGGAGGGGAGGGGGGCGGGGCGGTCTGGGAGGAGGTGTGTGTGGGGCG